CAGGTCACAGGGATCAGGTGTGTAAAGTCAGTGGAAAGAACAGCGGAGGGAGCTTAAGATCTGCAAAAGAATAAAACAAAATGCAACAGGGACTTTGTCTCTCATTAAGTGTTGTTCCACTCCATCGGGTCAGAGCAGGGCTGCTAGGGAGCACCAGCTCCTCTGAGGATTCTGGATGCTGTAACACCAACAATTTTAAAAACAGCGACAGAGAAGGGCATACAGTGCATGAAATGTACTCCAAAAACAGAATAAATGTGCACCAAAGTGGGACATATTATTCATTTAATTTCAAATAATTAGAATAAAACATGTAGTGTAATTAAAGTTGAAAGCTATTGGGTAGACTTTTGAGGTTGAACTAATTTGTGTGCATACAAATTACACATTATATTTAAAACAGTAATCACATTAACCATTGCAAGGTGAAAATGTTAAAGCAAAATGTCCAATACTGTCAGTAGATGTCTTGTGTAAAATTCTGTCTGATGCCTCCGGACACTGGACGTTCAGACACATTAAGAACTTTAACAACTCGGTTTTATGAAGTTTCTTTTAGATAGTAATGTGTAATTTGTTTAGTTTTTATATAAAAGTAACAGCATGTCTGGACTGTACATGTATAGTTAAATGCTGAAGTTTGGCTCAACCATTTAATTGTGTAAAAGAATAAATACTTAATGTAACCATTTTACAAAAACCTTTAAAGATTACTTCAATATTGGAATGATAACACAAGCATCAGCAGTTCATTATCAATGCAATATTGATTCTGATTCTGATCACTGCAAACCCAAAGCATCATCTGTGAACATGTACACTCTCTTCTCACTCCTGTATTGTCATAATTGTGTAGATGAGGATTTATTTTGAAAGGTTAATTATTTATTCTGATGAAGCCTTCTGTTTTTCAAAATAAGACTTGCTTTTTCACCCATGATGGGGAAAGCTGAGGTTTAGTATGCCTTCAGCTCTCCAACAGCCAGCAGCAAATGTCTTGTCATGAAATGACCTCGCTTTTAGTGCCGCAACAGAACACCGTTACGATGCGATGAGTTTGATTAAGTGTATTTATGCAAATGCATAGACCAGCTTTTAAAAGGTCACATTTAACCAAAGTGAAGATTAAAAGTGGAGTAGACAAGAGAGAAAAGCGACCTCTGTTGGTATATACCTGTTACTACACCAGTCAAAGAGTTTGCTGGAATAGCAGAGAGATTCACTCTTCCTCTCTCTCGCTGAGCAATGCACACACACACACACACACACACACACACACACACACACACACACACACACACTATGCATTCATGATAGATGAACCCCTCTTGAATAAGTCTTTGTCCTAGATAGTGATCATGGGACATGCTGTCAAATGAAGTACCTATAAAGATATGGCTTTAATGTGAGTCAGATGACCTGAATTCAGGTTTTGTGTGTTACTGTTACTATTCCGGTGACAATACATTATACTGTCGCATTGTCTGCTTGTGTCACTTATTCAACATCAAGTGAACATACATAGAAACATTTCTCCTCAGTAAGTAATAGATAAAAGTCTTATTTTACATCAGTAAAGTCTGGGCTCCACTGATGTAATGCAAGTAACCTCGTGTGTATTGTTAAATAAAGCACAAAACTACACTAGAAAGCAGCACGAGAACAAATTAATGCGATCCTTTCCTGTTTCGCAATCAACCTCAGTGCAGTCAGCGGTGCTAACTTAGTGGTCAGATGTACACCAGGGATTACCCATAACTATAGTTACCAGGCTTTGAAAGGATTTGCTGATCCTGTTTAATTGCTATGTGCTCCAATAACTTTGCTTTTTAATGAGACACTCTGCACGACACAACAACTGAACACAGACTGACACCGGCGGTCTTCATTCAAATGTGTTTTGCATTCATAAGCCAAAGCTCAGAAAACAGTTTAGCATCACTAGCAGCCAGGGACTTCCCACAGTGAAGGACAGCTAATCAATCTCGTATTGAGCTTTTGACAATCACGGCACGGGATAATCGCGGGGGAATTAAATGACAAAACCACTGTTGTCTGGCAGCCACATGAGGAGAGACTTAGTAAGTCTTTCTTTAGTGTGCAGTTTAAGTTCTAAGATTTATTCAGTCATACTGAGTGCCCTCACATGGGGTGAGGTGATTGGCATTTATTGACAACGCATTAGACTGCCACTTATGTCAATTACAAAGTGTCATTTAGCTCATCATTCTTATATTCAGCTGGTGTAAACTGTCCCTGCAGGAAGAGATGTGAAGGAGAATAGATTAGAGGAAGGACAACAGGTGGCTATCCATGACAAAATGCCAATATCACCTACTTGGTAACTCAGCATGTTGTTCAGAAATCAGCAGCACTGAGTTACTGTCATATGACAGCAGTCTATGAGGCCTAAACATAGAATCAAAGGGAACCTGGTCTGGCATCAATTTCGGAGGCATTTCCATCCTCCAATCAGTGCAATATCACAGCTTTTTGTGTCTTGATTTGAGAGTGTGATGAAAGAAAGATTGCGAAAGGTTACGGGAAAAAACAGGCATGCAACCAGGTACAGGATTTTTAGTGATGAACTCGAATGTGTTTCACTGCTCAAAAAGTGTGATGCTGACTATGAACCGATTTAGTGTAAGAAAACTGATCTGACTAAGAAATGTGTACGTGTCTAGTCAGAGGTAACGCTGGAACAGAGTACCAGTGAATGTCGATAACAGGTTGGTCATAGTTAGTCAAGTGTAATTCAAATTTCTTTATAAGCACTTAAACAAACAGGAGATATCAAAACAGAGATAAACCGATGTAGACGAGATCACAGGTAGGAAATAAAATAAAAGGTGAACGATAAAATATCAAATAAAAAATTCAAGTGTGACTTTAAAAAACCTGATTATAATAAAAAAGTGAAAAGCATAAAAAGCTTTATTAAAAAGGATCAAATCGAGCTAAAACAACTTCTCAGCTCTTTAAATAATGCAGTTAAAGGTACTGAGATAAAGGCAAAAAATGGATAAATGATTGAAATAGATAAAAGTAATGGAAGCATTATTTAACAGACACATTTGGGACCCGGCTGGTGGTGTTACTCAGTTTTAGTTTGTTACAGCTGTAGGGATAGCTCAGACAAAAGAAGCCACTGAAGTGGGATGGGATATATTTGTTGAACACGACATAAGACTGTGTCTGTGGTGAACCACTGCAACACACCCCTCGAAGACGCACAAACCCACTCAGACTCACGCTCACGCCGTGCATGTGTAAGCACAAACAATGATGTTATCCATTCTCTCCTCTATCCAATCACAGGACTTCACATTCTCACATATTCCCATGACGGCTCTGCTGGTAATCATGCATTCCTGGCGGCATAACTGTTACAGCCAAAACAATACCAAAACACCACAAAGAGACATGTGGCATTTCTATGAAATGCTTCAGCCATTGTTTGTGTGCTTACCTAGAAAAACAACAACTGGAACCATATATCCTTGACAGCAGGGGGTCATTTTGAAACTAAATGTAGATCCATGTCAATCTGGCTGCATATTAATTAGCCGTGAAAACTGCTGGTACAAGTGAAATGGCCATGTGTGTTTATGCATGCAAAAACAATAAGGGGATGACATTGGTTGACTTTGTCATTAGCTGATCTTCATCCCACTGTTTGATATAGCAGGGGAAATATCCCAGGGTTGTTTGTACTTGCTGTCTCGGATAAATCTAATTTTAAACAAATATTTGCATATATTAAAACAGAGCATCACTACTGATTCATCGAAGCTGGAAAAATGTGGGCGACGGAGCAGCCGTGGTTTTCCTGGTCAAATAATGGAGCGCTTTTTGAATGTCAGCTTTGCTCTAACAGGATCGATGCATTTGGTCAAAAAGGACACACAAGGTGAACTGTGATGAGAGTCTAGATGGGAGAAGTTATAATACATGAATGCATTAAGGTGTCAAGTTCAACATGCCTTCTGTGAGGATTGGTTTGTTGTAGTCCTAATTAAGTTTGCACATGTTCTGCAACCGGCATGTCTGCAGTATGATAGGAAGCATTGAGTATATATAATATGTATGGGGATGGACTAAATATTCCATATTTATGCAGGTAAAAACATCTCACTACACTTATGAAAAGTTTAATCACATCATGACGTTCATCAGCAAATGACATTTGCCTAGTTGTTCTGGAAATAGAGACGTTCAAATGTCAAAGAACTTTAAAAAAGGAGTGCTGGGTGGAAGTGAATTATTTTATGATTCACTTCCACTTATTTTCCTCGTTTTTCGGCTTAAAGACACTGCTTCACCAACCTTACTGTGTGTCTAATTTTATGAACATTCTCTATAGAAATGGCTTTAAATCACACGAATGCAAAAATCTTTCTTACAGATCACAGATAGAAGGGCATTCTGTTATAACATCCTAGCCACAAGAGGCCTAATTAGAAGTTATAATTGTAGGGTAACTTCATTATATCTGATAACCGACTGATTTAATATATTCTATACATATTTCTGTGGGAAAACGGTGTGACATATGTGACATATGACTTTGTTTCCAATATTCTGCTTATAAAATGTTCAAGGTTAGTTTTTGACAAAGGTCTTATCGTGTCAGTATTTAGCTGTGTTATTAAATATCGTTAGCTTCATAGCATAAGTGCCTAAGTCATTTTTTGGTCAAATTGAGATTTTTGCCTAACTTTACTCCCCTACCACTGCTGCATCATCCTGTCCGTCTGCCTATGTCATCACAAAAAAATGACTTAGGCACTTATGCTATGAAGCTAACTATATAACATATTTATCCATCAGTCCGTCTATTATCTTGAATAAGTAATTAAAAAACAATTAGAAAATCAGGCCAGTATTAACATGGCTAACTACCCCAAAGTATCACACTAAACTAACTTCAGTCTTCGCAGCTGTTCCAAATAAACCAATAAGAGGCACAGTCGGAGGTGAGAGGAGGGGACATCCTCGTCTGTCCTCTCACTCACACGTGCCCTCTACTGGCCAGACAGCGCGCACACAGCCGCTGCTCTCCTGGAGCTGCCGGACCACTCAATCCAGGCGTAATTCAGGAATCAGGACTCACTCACACATTCCTCCTTCAAGTGTGGAGCAAGCCGGCAAGGAGCAGCCGTGTCGGCGACAGCCTCCACTCACTCCGCTAAGAGCACGCGAAGGGACTTTAGATTCCCCACTCCTTAAAGTATAGGTGTAGGATTCAAGTTCCAGTAAAGAAAGAAGAGTTGCCAGTTAACCCCTCGGCTGGGGGTTAACGCGACGACGGCGGTGTCGACATGGATAAAGTTATCAATTGCTTGTTTGCTGCATTAACCCTGCTGTTGTCCGCTCGAGGGGAAGTTTTTAAAGGTAAGGACGATTACCTGGAAATGTTTTTCAGGTGCCGAACACATGCTTGGTCTTTAATTGTGCCACAGCCGGGGCACGAAGTAGAACTGATATGCGGGTAAAATGAGTTCAAGCACTATTTTGTGTCATAGTTTAGTTGCAGTTTGAAGCCTGTTGTGTGTCTTTACGATTTTAAATCGAGGATAAGCTTGAGCTTGGAAGTAATGCTATATGAGAGTGGCATTATATCAGACAAGTGAGCTTGGCACACAAATACTCCGTTTTTGTACAATAAACAGAACGTCACCGTTTATAGCGGAAACACTTCTATAGAAGCAGTAGTTGTTCTCACCATCCCCGGTGCTTGTGTGCGCAATGAGCCGGTGCGCCACGGAGCCACTCCGCTGCTGCATTCGGTGGGAGAATTTACTAAACCACAAGTTAAAGGAGTTCAGTGTTTGTGTTTAACTCGAGCTTGAGAAGTTGTTGTCTAACGTGATTAACCTCAAAGGGATTCGCGCACTACAAGTGTCACCTTGCGCTGTTGGTACGGCAAAGCGTTAAGCTAAACGAGACCTTCTCTGGTCGTTTGACCGTCAGTTTAATGTGAACTTCAATTAAAATGCCAAAGTGTCCATCTAGACATAAGTCACACTCAGTACAATGTGCGGTTTCGTGTCCAAAAGACTTACTGTGGGTAACAGTTTGTGCGTAAAGCACCCTTTCTTGCCAAGCTCATTTAGCGGTTTGCAGCCTATACGCGCAATTAAACTTCTGTGCATAGCGTCAAAGTCCATACACCTCTACTGCAGGTCATATAGAGAGTTTTGTCACGTTTTCTGTGCGTTCCTTTGCTTTCCTACACGCTAAAGGAAATGATCTGCACTTAACAGCACTGTGCGCGCCACGCGTCTCCTTTCTAAACGACATGCGCTGCAGAAACGAACAGTTTAAGTTATTAAGAACTCTTTCATTTGCACGCGGTCTGTTTTTAAGTGCAAAGTGTTTGTTTGTTTAAAATTATTTTTTATTTGGAGTTCATCTTGAATTCTGACGGATTTGCTATTTTACTGTCTGACCGGTTTGTGATTCCAGCTTCCACATAGGTACAAAAACTGCACACCACCTCAAATTAATCCCATTCATTCAGTTCTTAAGCTAATGTCAACTGCAATAAGTCTATTCAAAGCTTTGTGTAGGGGAAAAAAAGAGTTCAGGCATTAGTACCAGATAGTTATGTGATTTATTGGAATTACTGAAATGATGTGGCAGTCTTTCACCTTCAATATAATGACCATAGGTTGCCCAAGGGGACTTAACATGCAGAGACTAAATTAGCCTCAACAGGGGTCATTTTTGCTGTCTGCACAATGGCATTATCTATGCGGGAAAAGGCCCATTAGCCCATATTCATGCCAATCAATGAATGGACAATGAATGTCCAGTGTGCGAGTGTTCCATGCTGGCACTGCAATTAGAGCCGCATTTGAAAAATCTCATAAATAAATGGAACAGTCTGATTTGTGTCTTTGAATGTCTTTGATTGTATATACTGTTCTGACTCTGAATCGGTGAGTGTGCTGAAGTTGTGTGATGTGTGGTTTCAGTTATATTTGGATGCTGGACTTCAGCAGATTCAACACACAACACATTTTTCAGAGAGCCTGTAGGGGGCAGCATGGTACATATATAATATGATACCCAGATGATGACGTTAAGCTGCTCAAGAGTGGAGGACAACAAGTCAGATGGATCAGGATTCAGATATACAACTGTTTGTGTAAGCACTTTGATGGAAGAAAACGACTTTGCAGTCAAATAACTACTGATTTATTTTATTTGGTCAATTTTGTGTATGTGTGTATTTGTGTGCAGCTTTTTTTTCTCTAAACTGGAGATGTTGATCTAATTGCAGAAGTCTTATTAGGTATTTTATGATAAACAAATAGCTTTTATCAAGCAAGACCAGCACAGTGGGTCAATTTTAGTGACTGGGAACTTGCTTACCCTGAAGCTCAAAGTATTCCCAGTCCATTTTTCTGTCAGGTTTATCAGTCTTGCCTGCTGGCAACCTCACGAATGGCAGATTTATTGGAGTGGGCTGCACTGCAGGTCTCCCAGTGGTGCTGAAACCATCGATAAATGTGCTCCTAATTGCATGAGTGTGTGTAAATATGTAAACCTGGAAGAAATCAATTGGATGTATTTTACTCTCTGTGGCTTGGTGACGGATTAGCCACACACGGATGGAGATGTAGAGGCTAAATATGAGCCTGAAGATGAGGTGGGAGGCATTTGTTACGGGGAGTATGCGATAACAGCTCGTGTGATAATTAGATCACTGAGGTAACCAGAGCACCGGTCGACTTCAGTGCATAGTATCAGCACCTCGTGACTGTGCAGCCTCAATTCGATCACAGAGAGCGGCCCTTTGGAAGTCTTTTAATTTAAGCATTTCAAAACAAAATCCATAATCAGAATTCTGCTGTATCATTTTCACCTTCTTCCTTCCTTGTGCACCTGCACATCTGTTCTCAGCAGCAGAGGTAGAGATGAACTGCTCTTTTCTTCTACTCCCTCCTTGTTGCATTCACAATGCCCACCGGATGCTCTAGGTTCAGAGAGAAAGCAAAAAAACAACACTATAAATCACTTGTTGGGTATGGCTAGTGCTTTTGTTTTCTACATTATGAGGACAGCTTTTTTTTTTTTTTTTTGCTTTTTTTCCAGAAGGCCTGGCCTTTGCTATCTATACTCTGTCTCTGGACCAAGCACATTAAATTCCAGAGAGCTGTGCGCTTTGTTATGTTTACCACCTTTTCCAGCAGCCATAAAACCTGCCTTGTTTTGTGATAGGGGTGAGCCGTGTGTTGAGAATAATGTCTATGCCTGGAGAGTAAAGCTGTAGTTTGTCACCGCAGAGTGACTGCTGCTGATAGCGTCCTGGTTGACCGATCCTGATTGCCATCCAAGCTGTGACTAAGGAGTAAAACAACACATTGGCTGCTTGAGAAGATAAACAGCACTTCATTTGAAGTCTGGCAATAATTTAGATAGTTTTTCACTCATGAAGTGTTTCTTCTCCCCCCTCTCTCTCTCCCTCTCGTCCAGCTGACTCAGATTTAATAGAGACTTTTCCGAAAGGTGTCCTGAAGGATGGCAGTTTCTTTTGTGTGAGCCAGTGGAGAATGAAATTAAATATGCATGTGATTTTTTTTTTTTTTTTTTTAATTTATTTATTTTTATTTGATGGCTTCAACCAGTGTTGGAGGAGGCGAGCGAGAAGGGGGAGAAGAAGAAAAAAAAAAGCTGCGTGGTGATTGATGATAGTACAAAGCAGAAAGTGAGGTGTCTACATTCTTCTGTAACTTTGCTTTTCAGACACTTTTATTATGATGATAATGAAGGCGGTAGAAACACATGGATTTACTGAAGCTGTTCAAACAATGTGGGTACATGTGTGACTTCCCAGAAAAGGGTCTGCTGAGTTTGTCAGCAGAGCTGTCTTATGACTGATCATGGCTGGTAGACATTGGGGAGGATGTGTCACTTTAAAAACGAAACTTTAAGAATTGCACATATTAGAGCTGCCATATAGACACTATTCTTAGACCATCATTTAAAGTGACTGGATTGACAGTAATGCTCAATTTTTTTTCTGCTAGATAGAACATACTTTTTTGTTTTCTGTATAGAATTTAAGTACCTTATTTACATAGTATCCTGCTGCGCTGCTAGTCATTCAAAATTCAATAGTTCTATTCTTAAAAAGAAATGTAACCCCCCCCAAAACTTCTACTGATGTCTTTTTTTCTCCACAGATTACTGGGCTATAGACATCAGCATATCTCACCAGAATGCAGTAATCAAGCCCAACTACTGTGCAAAAGAAAAACAAAACAAAAAAACCCCACACTTGCACAAAACCCATCTGATGCATTAGCAAGAAAGGCGAAGGTCTAATGTCAGGGACTCCAAAGAATTTCTAGACTTTAGAGCCAAACCTGGAGTGAGCAGTACACAGGAGGTTATGCAATACTTGCCACTCTCATTAGACCTATTATCAGAATAACAAAATACTGAAGTGAAGAAAGGGCACAGAGTTTGACACATTATTCAGCTTTGCTTATTCAGCCTCTGTTCTTTGGAACTTGCCAGAAGGCATGCTAGAAAATCAGTGTCTGAAGGAGGAGACGTCAGCGCACTGAAAAAGTAAACAGCATTTCATTACAAAGTACTTCCCGACTTGTGTTTAACATCACACATTGATAATGCATAGCAGTGCACGGAGAGCCAAGGGTGAACCTAACTGGGGGTGCAAGTGCAGTGACTGCTGTGGAAACTGAATTGCAGATACTTCCTCATGCATGAGGAAATCTATGTGTTGTTGATTATGGTGGTGTTATTTACATGCGTACTGCCTCTTTGACCCTTTGTTGTCTAGACTCTGTGTGTCACAGTTCTTTATGTTTCTAGTATGCAGCACTGCACACTTTATAATCTGGTTTCTTGGCCTTCACTAAGCCCGAGGAGACGGTAGCACCAGTATGTTGTTACGTACGAAAACCAAAAGGGGTTGGCTCCCTTCTGATCTGTGCGAACTCTTAACACTTACAAACTGCTGCTATGATTTGTTCCCCTTTAAATGGCATCTCTTTAGGGTACCCAGGGTTCTTTCTGAACTTGGTAGACCAACCTTCAGAGCACACTAAAGGTGCACGTCATTGTGCTTTTGGGTTTTTGTTTTGGTCTCCCTGAGAGAGTTCAGAGCTCTTATAAGGACTC